CGAAGAATTGATGCTTTTGAACTGTGGTGTTGGAGAAGACTCTTGAGAGTCCCTTGGACTGCAAGGAGATACAACCAGTCCGTCCTAAAGGAGATCAGTCCTGGGTGTTCATTGGAAGGACTGATGTTGAAGCTGAAACTCCAATACTTTGGCCACCTGATGTGAAGAGCTAACTCATTGGAAAAGACCCTGATGCTGAAAAGATTGATGGCGGAAGGAGAAGGGGACGACTGAGGATCAGATGGCTGGATGGCATCACCGACTCAATGGACATGAGCTTGAGTAAACTCTGGGAGTTGGTGATGAACAGGGAGGCCTGGCATGCTGCAGTCCATGGGGTTGCAGAGAGTCATACACAACTGAGCAACTGAACTGACCTGAGCTGAAGCCTTCCTGATTTGCTCTCTGAAGCAAGGATTCATTCAATCATTTGGAAGGAGAGTGTTTCACTGTGAACATGAACCAGGGCTTTGGGGCTGGACTCCAATTCCTGCTCCACCTCATACAGAATGAAAGAGATAGTGAAAGCCTCTGAGAGTTCAACTTCCTCAGCTGTAAAATGGAAGGAGTCCCCACCTCCTAGGGTCCTACACATGTGTGTGTGTGCACAAGTGTGTGTGTCTCTACACTTAGTATTTTGCAGAATTATACCTGTGCTTACATATAGACATACTGCATAGATTTATGTGAAGTCATACTTAATTGAGATAACTTGCTCAAACATTATGAATTCATACCTTGAAAATAGTTTAACTAAAATTTTTATTTCTTTTCCAAAAGAATATTTGCTAGGATCGACACTAATAAACGTATTGGCCATTTAATGATGGTAATATTTACTTGCTTGACGAGGATTTATCGCCTCCTGGTAGCTTGCAGTCTGCTGAGAAAAGTGTGTGGATGACACCTGACATGGTCCACGCAGACCAGGGTGTCCACGCAGACCAGAGTGTCGACGGAGACCAGAGCGTCCACGCAGACCAGAGTGCAGGGCGATGAGAGAGAGGCCTTCAGCCTCAGTGAGGTCACTGGATCACTGACTCAGCAATGACTGAGGATCACAGCGCTGACGGTTACAGGAGGCCACAGAGACAGGCTCTGCTGTCGTACTGACGTCAGGATGACGAGGGCATGAGCGTGGGCCAGGCACTGTGTATGGTGTGAAATGACTGCACTGGCACAACCAGGGCGCAGTCCGTGTGGGCGCCCTGTCCAGTCAGGAGCCAGCAGTGCTCCAGAGAGCTTGGCAGCATCCTTTGTTCTGAGCACAAGGCTCTAGGCACCAGAAACACTCGACATGAAGAAAGGAGCCCCCACTGTTCACGGAGTAGCTCACAAAAGGATGGAGATGCACCCAGAGTCCAACAGAGCTAAAGGGAGTAGTCAGGCTGGGGTCGGGGGAATGCAGGGAAGCAACTAGGAGCAGGGCTTGCCTTTTCTACAATGTGCACAGAACTCTTAAATGAACCAGGGAATGTGGTTTCCACGCCAACACACAGATATTCTAATTAATTTTTCATGCCAAGAGACTCAAAGTACTTTGTAGTGATTGGATCAATTCCTGACAGCTACTGGAATTTAATTGCTTTTTTTTCCCTTGTGGAAGGCTGGGGGAGCGTGTGAACTCGGGGCTGTTAAAAGGAAAATGCTCAGGGCTATTCAAGGGAAAATGCTCTGCTCTCTGGTACTAGCACTCAGGGCTCAGAACCAGTGGCCGTGACCTGCCAGCCACCCCCTCTTCTACACACGATGCACACTCTATGGGGGAGCACAGAGCTGGGGAGGCCAAGGTATTTGCTAGAAATCACCCTGAGCGGCAGTGACAGAATTAGAAGTGACAAGGGCGAGTCTTGTTCCCCTAAGATTACGACCTACGGCGCTGAGTGCTTTGTAGCCAGCATCGTGGTTTCTTCCCCGGGGAGGACAGTCACACCCCACTTCACAGAGATGGACAGTGAGCACAGAGGGTAAAGATCTTGTCCAAAATTCACAGTACTTGCAGTGGTGAAACTGGTGTTAGAAACCCCACCAGCCAGATTCCAAAGTCCTGTTCTCCCCCCTGCTCTAGGAAGCTTCCAAATGTGGCTTTGAGCTCCCCACACTGCCCCCAGACTGGGACCTGGGTCAACTTCAGGGGCCTGTTAACCATCATGACCAGGATGATTCCATGAGCTTGAGTTCTATTTTTTGGGCACAGTTTTGCACAGTGATATATTTGCACAATTGAAGTCTACCATCAAGAGCAGGCTCTGAGCCATGAGAATTTAAATAGCAAAATAGTTTTCTTGAAAGACTCTAGAGATAGATGTCTTTAAAAAATATTTAAGATAGCTAGTGCTTCTTGACATTTTTATACCCCAGGTTCAGTTTCAGGAAATCTAGAGGTCCTTGGCATTTGAATGAACTCCTAATTAAATATATGTAATGTTTCTTAGATGGTGATTGCAGCAATGAAATTAAAAGATGCTTACTCCTTGGAAGAAAAGTTATGACCAACCTAGAAATCATATTAAAAAGCAGAGACATTACTTTGCCAACAAAGGTCCATCTAGTCAAGGCTATGGTTTTTCCAGTGGTCATGTATGGATGTGAGAGCTGGACTGTAAAGAAAGCTGAGCACTGAAGAATTGATGCTTTTGAACTGTGGTGTTGGAGAAGACTCTTGAGGGTACCTTGGGCCACAAGGAGATCTAACCAGTCCATCCTAAAGGAGATCAGTCCTGGGTGTTCATTGGAAGAACTGATGTTGAAGCTGAAACTCCAATACTTTGGCCACCTGACGCGAAGAGCTGACTCATTGGAAAAGACCCTGATGCTGGGAAAGATTGGGGGCAGGAGAAGGGGATGACAGAGGATGAGATGGCTGGATGGCATCCCTGACTCGATGGACATGGGTTTGGGTGGACTCCGGGAGTTGCTGATGGATAGGGAGGCCTGGCGTGCTGCGGTTCATGGGGTCACGAAGAGTTAGACACGACTGAACTGAACTGAACTGAATGTTTCTCTGCATTTTCCATTGATCACATTGGGGCCATCGTGCATTAAAAAAAAAAAAGCATCTAGGGACTTCCCTGGTGAGTCAGTGGTTAAGACACCGAGCTTCCACTGAAGGGGGCACAGGTTCGATGCCTGGCCGGGGATCTGGGATCCCTCATGTGGCATGGCATGGTCAAAAAGTAAAAAATAAAGCATCTGAAGTCTGAAAATAAATGAGGTTCCCCACATGGCTTCTCCACTAGATGGTATAGAGATTGCATGGGTGTTTCAAGTTAATTCATTTATTTTTTCATTCCTTCAGTAAATATTTACTGAGAACCTAGTATATGCTAAGTATTGTAAATCCGCTGGGGAGAAAAGTTAATATGACTTACGAGTGGATCTCTGGAAGCTGGCAGAGTGGTGGAGAGGACAGATCGGGACCTCAGTGGTGACAGCACCTGTGGCCGGGGAAAGCCTGGTGGCCTCTGGAGGCCCCTGGAGGCTGATGCAGACAGGTGGCCGAGAAAGCCAGATGGTGCTGTGAGGCTACGGTCAGGCCCGCGTTCCTCTTGAGAAGATGTGGGGAGAGGATACATTTAAACTCCCCTCCAGATATCTTCAAATCACGGTGTAGGGTAAGCTGGTTACACGCAATCTCCGTTGAAAAAGGTAAAGTTTTTACCTTTCAGAGATGCACTAAAACGATCCCAGAAGATTCTAAAATACTTCTGACATCAGTTGGGTAAAATAAAAATGGTGCAGGATAGGAGTTATTTTAGCATACAAAGGTCTGCATCCGCTAGAATTAATTGATAATTTAAGGATGTTATTTCCCATAAGTTTGCTCTATGTCTGCCTCCTTTAACCCCAATCCTGATGTATTGTACTTAGTAATTAAACGATCTTTTAAAGCATGGTCTCAGGGCACTAACTCTGGTACTGAAAACCGAAGAGCACGTTAACATTTAACTGGTGAAGACTGACGAAGGCAAAATTTTTAAAAATAACAGTAAAGACATAAGCTTTCTACACCTATGGAAATTTAATCATCACTTTTCACAAAACCTTTAAAAATAACATTGGCCATCAGGGGTCCAGTCTTTTTTTTCCTTTTTTTATTTATTGAATGTGATCGAACTTCGTTGCTGGGAGCTTATTTTCTCTAGTTGCAGAGAGTAAGGGATACCCTCCAGCTATGGTATGAGGGCTTCTCACTGCAGCGGCCTCTCTTGTGGAGGACGGGACCTAGGGCATGTGGACTCAGCAGTCACGCCTCCCAGGCTTCAGAGCCCCACTCAGGAGCTGTGGTGCATGGGCTTAGTCGCTCCGAGGCATGCGGGATCATCCTGGGCCAGGGATCGAACTCATGTCCCCTGCATTGGCAGGCGGATTCTTTACCATTAAGCTACCAGGGAAGCCCCAGCGGTCCCATCTTAACTAGAGCTGACCTTGCAGGAGAGCTGTGTTCAGTAACAGAGCCGCGGAGGCTGGGGCGGGGTTGGGGGGGCGCACCTCGTGTCCCCTGGCAGGTCTCTGGCTGCTCCCCGAGGTTCGCGGTCCAGGTTCGGAGGGCCCCCCGGTCGTCCTGTGCCCGGTCCCCGCTGCGGGGACCTGGAGGTGGGGGGCCACGTTTCTAGATACAAGAACAAGTTTCAGCGTTTCCTCTACTTGAGTGTTCTCAATATTGCCTTTTTACTCCGGAGTCTGCACGGATGTAGGCAGTTTTTTAACCACTAAATGTTTCAACAACGCATCGTCCCTAATTTTCCAAAAACTTAAACTCTAAATTCCATTATTTTATTTTATGTATATTCTTTTCTCTGGGGAGTGGGGGGACTAGGACACAAAAGAGCCTGGTCTGTGGCGGGGACCGCGCCAGCGGGGACCTGTTTCTCGCTCGGTGGTGGCGGAGCTGTTGGATTCAAGCTCAGTCTGTACGCTGTGCGAGGGGTCCAGGCCGCAGCCCGCGCCTCCCGCGCGTCCAGCCGGCTGGCCGCGGGACCTCCCTGTCCAGGAAGGGGTTAAGCGAGCGGCGAGGGCTCTGGGCTGGCGGCCGGGGGCCGGGGCGCGCCGGCGCGCTCCCGAGCACGCGCTCCCGGCCCCGGGCTGCAGCCGCCCTCCCGCCCGCGTCCCCGCCTCGGCGCGTTTCTCAGATCCGCCAGCGCCCGGCGCGGCCTCCAGGACGCGGTGAGTGCCGGGCCCCGCCGCCGCGGCGGTCGAGCGCGCGCTGCCCGGGCCGGGGGCGCCGGGAGCACTCGCTGGGCCGACTGGCGTCTCCGGGCCCCGGAAAGACGCGCGGGCCCCCGCGGGCGCTCGCGCAGGTGCGCGGGAGGCAGCCCGCCCGCCCCCGGCGTTCTTACAGGTGCGCGGGAGAGACCGGCGCGCGCGCGTCGGGGACCCAGGCGAGGGCTCCGCATCCCGGGCGCGGGAGGGCGCCGGGTGGAGGGCGCGGCGCGGACCTGCGAGGTAGGGGTGGGCCCCCAGGGGCAGGCAGCGGCTATATACCCCAGGAGGCGGAGGGTAAGTGGGCCCGGGGTCCGAGAGTGGGCACTGCCCGGGACAGGGGTGGCTGCCCGGGCGGGGGCGGTGGGCAGCGCGGGGAGACCGCCCGGTGGCCCTGCTTGCCGTGGGGGTGTGGGGTCCCGCCCGGCTCTGGCTCCGGGGTGCCTAGTGGAGGGGGCGGCGCGGGGACTCCCCGGGCGCTGCTGCCTGAAGCGGGGGGCGACCAGCCCCTGCGCCGTGCCCACGGAGATCGCCTCCGAGGACACAGCCCCAGGGGTGCCGTGGTCTCCGTCGTTCCCGCCGCCGTTCGCGCTTCGGCGAGCGCAGCCCAGACAGAGCCAGCTCGGGGGCGGAGCGGCCGGAGCCGGCGGGGAGGAGCCAGGCCCGCGCCCCGCGCCCCAGGCCGGACGCTCCTTGGGGAGGCGGTCCCGGCCCAGTGGCCACGTTTGCGGCCAGCGGGGCCGGTCACTTCCAGCTCCCGAGGAGTGCCTGGGCCTGTGCTCAGCGCCGCGCGGGCCTGGCTCGCGGGCGGCCATGGCCGGGCCGCGCTGCCTCCCGAGCATCCGTCTCGGCGCCACAGGAAGCGGGTGGGAGGGCCCTCCCGGACCTGGGACCGCGGAGGGGTGGGAAGTGCTGGAGTGCGTGCGGGGGCTCCTCGCCGGTTCGCCCCCATCACCCGCCCTGACTGCCTTGCGGACCTCCCGGGGCCCTCCGCGACCCCCAGGGGCCCCCTCCTGATGCAGCCGGCATTGCTGGGGGCTCGTGGGCTACTGGGCTGGCAAGGTAGCCCAGCCCTTTCTTTTCTCGGAGTCTTTGCCCCACTGACCGACCAGACGGGCCACCAGCGGTGCTTGTCGCTTGGGTTGGAACGTGCCTGACATCACGATGGCCCGGGGCGGGGCGCGAGAAGAAGTCGCATTTCAATAAAGACAGCGTGTGGCCGGCTCACGTGTCTGAAGGGGAGGTTAAATGCATTTCCGCGGAAAGCCTCCTGCCCGCCCCCCAACCGCATTCAGGCGGGGTGGGAGGGCACCCCAGCCTCCCTGTCAGGGCCGGCAGGGTCCGCCACTCTGGCGTGGTTGCTCCTGTAGCCTTAAGTAAGTTTAAAAAAAAAAATTCCACCGCTTCTTAGGTTCCTACAAAACCACATCCTCTATCTCCACCCACCCCCCACATCTATTCTAAGGGCAAGGAAAAGAACAAATCAGTGTAATAAGCTTTATTTCTGCTCAAAGCACTGAAGGCGCCGTGCAGGCAGATTTTAAATCCCCGTGCAGCCCCTCGGTGGGGGTGGGGGGGGGTGCGAGTTCACTCTGTTCCCAGCCTGTGATCAGGCCGCCTCCCTCCTTTTGGCGTCAACCAGCAGGTTGACTAGCTTCCAGCTAGGACCCATAATGGACCGCCAGTGTTCCCCTGGCCTCTTACGCTGAGCTAATGGTGCCCTATTATTAGGAGTCCTCCTCCCTACCCGGGAAATGCAGAAGGGAGCACTCCATCCCTCAGATTTGCCCAGGGACGGTCCCCTGAATGCACTGCAACAGGAGGTTCCAGCTATCCCTTTGGGGACTAACAAAGCAAATGTTTAAAGAAATAAAGTCTTTCCACCTTTTAACGTCAACTGCAGGGGATACTGCTGATAATATAATTAGAATGCAATGAAGAGTTCAGAGATTTTGCTTACAGGCCATAAGGCCCTCTTGGGTTTGAGAGGAGGGGAGAGACAGTGAAGTGTCCATGGTTCATCAGGATGGGCCACTGGGGCAGCCTGGCTTTGTGTGGTCCCCTGTGGTCCCAGTGTCTGGGTGTTCCTGGGGTGGGACCGTGGGGGCTTCTGGCTCCAGCGCTGGGAGAACAGAGGGGCTGGGAACGTGGTGAGGCCGTCTCTTCATCCCTGAGCATCTTCCTGGCAGCCCCATCGCTCCGTTTCCGTATGTGCTCATACAAGCTGCCACGCTGGCATTAGGGAAGCAGGAGGCCTCCTTTTAGCTCCAAGTCCACTCTCGTCCCTGAGCTGAAACCAGGCGGCCCTCTGTGCTGTGGGGCCTCCATCTGGGATCCTGTTTCAGTTTTTTTCTAAATACCAACAGCATAAATTGTCTGTAATCACAGCTCTGCGGTGAATCTGGAACTACTTAGGCGGCTGTAATGCCCCTCGGCCTCCCTAGTTGGAGGTGTGGTGGCCCAGGAGGACGGCTGTGGGGCTGCCCCAGAGGTGCCCGCAGGGCCATCGGGGCACAGACCAGACACCCCCCCTGTCCCCTGGCGCGTCCTCCCCTGCTGGCCCTGGGCGGATCTGTTCTGGGGAGTTCAGGGATTTGTGTCTCCACTGGGGCCTTGACTTGGGTTTTTCTCTTGGAATTATTGTAATTACTCTAAAATGACAGTGTTGGCACCCGCAGCTCTTTGTTAAATAGTTAACAATGAGCACTGGCTTTTGGGATATCCAGGAGTTTGCTTTTTGCCAGCAAGCCAGCTCCTGCTGGAAAGAATATTAAAATAAACAGCACTTTGGAAATTGAAACAGTTGCAAGTCTTATACAATATTCAATGGATTAAAAACCAATTTCTTCCTTTCACAAACACCTATCGAGTGTCTGCCCCACCCAGGTCAGGCGCAGTTCTAGGTGCTGGGAATATAATGGCATTTAAAACTGACACAGCCTCTGCCTCCCCCAAACTGTCTCCCGGCAGCTTGGGTCCTGATAACGGTGAAAGTGATGTTAATTCGTGTGTGGTAATAAGCAGGCAGTGTCTCTGAAGGAAAGGAACAAACCCCTATGAAAGCACCTGATGCAGGGATTGTGAGTTGGGGTCTGAAGGGTGAAGCCTGGCAAAGGAGGACGGCAGGGGACACCTCGCAGAGATGGTGGTCAGAGACGCTGGCGCGTCAGAGAAAGAAGGCAGGCCGATGGGCACCCTGGCCATGTCAGATTTGTGACTTAATACACGTTTATCCCTCATTAACTGTGGCATTTCCTCTGTAAATTGACAGAGCTTTACACACTAGGCCTTGATGCAGTAGGATGTGGATTAACTTTGAAGAGCTGAGATCGCATGGCTCACAGAGCGAGACTGCCCAGGGGGAGGACGTGGACGCGCGTTGTGTAAGCAGGGGCCCCTGTGCTGAGGGGGGTGCCCTCAGCGCTGTCCCTGAGAACCCTTAGTTGCGGGGCCACGGTGCAGACGCGGAGCCGCTGCCTCTGTCCAAGCCAGGGTCGCCTCCCGCTCCCACTGTGGCACCCTGCTGGGCCCCCCTCACAGCCCTGGGCCCCACGACCAGTTCTCAGACCAGTTCTCAGACAGCCGTCACAATGGTCGCTGACAGGCACGAGCCTTGTTATGGCACTGGGTGGCCTGTAGCTTCCCGTGGGCTGCGGTGGCCAGCACAGATAACAGGAATCTCGCTCTAGCCGGCGGGGTCGTCTGACGACCAACCCACAAACCTAGTGGCTGCTGCAGACTGAATATCTGTGTGTTCCCCAAATGCACGTGCTGCGCCTAACACCCAGGTGATGGTGTTAGGAAGTGGGGGGCTTCGGGAGGTGATGAGGTCGTGAGGGTGCAGCCCCTATGATGGGGTAAGTGCCTGATAACAGAGACCCCGTGGAGACCCCAGCCCTTCCTCCAGCTGAGGACACAGAAGATGCCGTCGGTGAACCAGGGAGCGGGTCTCAGACACTGTGAAGAGTAACGACCTTTCCTCCAAGTCTGCTGGTCTGAATATTAATCTCATCTAAAAATACCTTCACAGAAATACCTTCTAGACTGGCATTTGAGCAAACACCTGGGTGTGGCAGCCCAGCCAGGCTGGTGCATCGCCACTGTCCTGTCCAGATGGGAAGGGCGACACGCAGCGGCCGCTCCATGGGCAGCCCTGCAGGGCAGTCGGACACAAGCGGGCTCTGTTCTGGCTCCAGGAGTGATTCTCAGATGCTCCTGGCTCTGCCTTCTTGATCCTCCAAGTCATTCTCCCTTTTTCATAAAAAGTGCCTGGTGCTTGCAGCTGAGTGATTTTCTCAGCCTGCCTCCTGGTTTCTTTGAGCTGATCTGTCCCATTGACTCAAAGCTGGCAGAATCTCTTCCTGGGCAATTATCTTAAAAACACTGTGGGCTTTCTATGGATCTGCTGGGATTGAAGCCATTAGACAAAGGTGTCATCCAGAAATCCACTCAGTCCTTTCTCCGCCTTGGACTCCCTGCAAGGCTGCTGTGAAAAGCATCCTTAAAATTCCTAGAAGCCCTGTTGTTTACTGCAGGACCCTTCCAGGGCCTCTGCCTGGTGCCCCTCAGATACCAGGAGGTCTTAAGGAGAGATCAGATTGTGCTGCCTGGACTGATCTTGGCTCTGAAGCCGGGTCTGAATTCGACAGTCTTGGAGGCACTGGAAAGGAGAAGAGCTTCATCTGTGAACCCAGTGAGCCTGCTTCCTTTATGTTCCCTCCAAATTGCACTTGAAAATGGAACCCTTCCTTCTCCAGCTCCCCCCTTCTCTCAAGTCACAGAGAGCGCGCTCAGCAGTCCCACCCGGCCCCCCGGAAGTCTCCTCTGGCTCATCCCCAGCCCACCGAGCACCCTCCGTCTCTGGCATCGTGGGCCGCGCTGCTGCTGAGCCCTGCCGCCCAGCGCCCAGTCCAGGAGCCCCGCCCGCCTGTCCTTCAAGCCCTGACGCAATTGCCCACTGCCTGCCCAGCTGGGGCCACCGTGCTGTTCCTGCCTTGCTGGCAGCCCCGTCCAGATGGCTCCATAACTGACCACTCCAGACCTGCGGCTCAGAAGTGCAGGGCTGCCGTGCCCTGTAGACTTGTAGGCTGGGCAGTCTGGCGGGGAAGCTCGATGGATGCCCTCGAGGCCGCTCACATCCGCTGCCAGCTGGGGGCACGGGCGGCGGCGCTGGGCCTCTGGCAGCACTGTTTCTCTGGGCTCCAGCTGGGTCCCCGGAGGCCCCGGACTTCTCACGCATCGGCACCAGGCCCCTGAGTGTGGGTGCTAAGAGCGCAAGCGGCGTGATTGCCGTTTTCAGCATAGGCTCCCTCACCGCAGTGACCAGCGTTTAGGATCCGGGGGCGAGCACACCCGCGGGGGCTGCTGTCACCTGGGAGATGACCGCCCCTCCTCTCTCATCCTGTCCACTCGGCCAGGCTGCACCAAGGGGCCTCGGGGACCATGAGCCACGTCCTGCGCCACCCCGCCGCGCCCCCTCCAGCTCCTTCCGCCGTCTGTGGGCTCCCAGGCTGAGCTGCCCACCCCGAGGTGCTGAGTGCGGCCCTCCGCCCACCCTCCCGCGGCCCGGCACCCTAGCCCTTGAGGTTCGTGTCCCGCCGAGGCTGGGTGTCCAGGTCCGAGCGCAGGGTCCTCGTGTGGGGAGAAGTCAGCCTCGCTGGCCCTTTGGTCTCCAAGGGCGGGGCGGTGTGGGGCAGGGCTGCCCTGCAGAGCTCCAAAGAGAACAAGGCCAGCGGCCCAGGCGGAAAGCCTGGGAGAGAGGCCCCCCCCCCCCACCGGGTGCCTGGCCGTGGCCTGGGCCCTTGGCGCGGTGGAG